CTTTCTCTTTCTGGCTTACTTCACTTAGAATGACATTCTCCAGGAGCATCCATGTTGCTGCAAATGGCGTTATGTTGTCTTTTTATGGCTGAGTAGTATTCCATTGTATAAATATACCACATCTTCTTTATCCAGTCATCTGTTGATGGACATTTAGGCTGTTTCCATGTCTTGGCTATTGTAAGTAGTGCTGCTATGAACATTGGGGTGCAGGTGTCATCCTGAAGTAGGGTTCTTTTTGGATATATGCCCAGGAGCAGGATTCCTTGGTCATACAATAAGTCTATTCCTAGTCTTTTGAGGAATCTCCATACTGTTTTCTACAGTGGCTGCACCAAACTGCGTTCAGCCAAGGGCTTCTTGATTCTCCAAGGATAGGACTTAGAGTCAGTGCACTTAACAACATATTACCTTAAAAAAAATAAACTATCGGATTTATATATTCACTGTAGCTTAATATGTGTCTAGTATTAAATATTCTTAATAAAGTTTGACACACTATTTAAAATATTATTGCTAATTTGGGAAGTTCCATCATGTATCATTCTTTTCCTTAGAGGGTTGAGGCTGCAGGTGAAAAGCACTGTGAATTCCTGGGTGTGATAAAGGTGATAGGAAGGGGGTTGGGACTGGGAGGCCTTTGACATATTTGGGTTTTGATAACCAACTTGGTTAGAGGTTAGTGAAGACAGCCAGGTTTCTGAGGACCTGATCCTGATGGACAGGTCACCCGGACCCCATGCACGGGTTCCTTTGGCCTGGAATCTTCCTGGAGGGCAGGCAGAGTGTGAGATAAAGCCCCCAGGTTCCCAAGTGAAATATTTTGGGAATTTCAGAGACAGCAGCCTATGTTCTTCATGTGAAAGTTTCAGGACGAGCTTAGGGCACTTAGCAGCTGACCTCTAACTGTCACCAGCTCTTAGGAGAGCCTGCAGAGGACCAGGGGACAATTTGTGCCTAGCCTGTACTTTTAAAATGCCATGAAATTTTTATAAGACATTGCATCATAAGACAGTTTTAGTATAAAAGTAGAGGCGTCCTCCTTGTTCACAAGTTCCCTCTAACCACAAATATTAGCAGGGCTGCTATCAAAAACTTTAAGCATAATGCAGAGATTAGGGCCACAGCCTGCCTGGTATGTTTAAGCCTGGATCACCATATTTGATAACTTTCAGTGTGACCTTGAATATCCAAAGTCTTGCATTTGTTTGTTTGTTTATTTACTTACTTACTTACTTTTTTCTTATTTACTGAAGTACAATCAGTTTACAATGTTGTGTCAGTTTCTGGCGGACAGCTTCATGTTTCAGTCATACATACATATATATTCATTTTCAGGTTCTTTTTTCATTATAGGTTACTCCTGCTTTTATTTAAAATTTCAGTCTAATGAGTCAGTAATTCAGAACTTTGGAGAATTGTTTTTTCTTTCCAGGTGGACAGAGAGTTGAAATGTTTTTTTCTTCTTCTGAGTTGGAATTAAACATATTGCCACCACCCCTTCTGTAGCCCTACAAAAGGAGGTAGAATATAAATTGAGTAGAATGAAGTTTAATCTAGGCTGTGGCTGTGGAAAAATAACTTTAGATAAATCATCCGAATTTTGTTCAGACTTCCAGTGAAATGGTCACACAGGTTTTGCTTGAAAATCAACTCCGCTATTTGTTTCTAAGGCAACATTCTACCTAACAGAGCCCACTTTGCATATTCTAACAGTGTTTGTCTTTGTGTACAATTAGTTGGGGTCACATGTTAGGTCTTGCCAAATGCCCCCTTCCCTTTCCTACATAGCAACCAGAGGCCCTGTAACTGGACCCCTCGACCCTTAAATC